GTGGGGTAACATTTGTGACAGATTCTCTTGGACTTCAGTTTGAGGGGGGTTTCTATAAGAATTCGACCCGCTGAATCCAATGAACTTGGGTATTCCTCCTAAAAGTGACGGCTAATTCTGCTACTGGGCCAAATTCCAAATGGGGCCTCATTTTGGCTGAAAACTCATAATGTTCCCTAAAAAGGTGTGTAATATATTGAAATATAGGTTTTCGATGGATTATATATCTCCAATATACAGTAGAATCTATATTAAGCAGCCACTCAAGGGAATTTTCATGACTTAACAGGAGTGACCTCTTAATAAAATCTCAGTGTTTGTTAGTGCTGACATTAAGTAAATTTTACGTTTGGGTGCATTATTGGGAGCAAACATCAATACTTGCATCGGTAAATTTGGCCGTTGCTGAAACTTGCTTAGAACGAAAATTCTTTGACTCAAATCTCTGATATATCTTCTGTAATTCTGTAAACGTGTCATTTTGTACCAACATTGATACTGCTGTTTACCATTGTGATGTATTTGATAATACAGACCGACCTACGGACAAACCCATTTTAATAAATATCTGAAGATTCTAGAATTCCAATTAATTCATCAGCTCACTAATTTAGACAAATTCAGTGAGATCAAATGGTAACTTTTCTAAAAAATGTTCACTAAATTCTACAAAGTGAGCAAGGACAATAATTTTAGAAGTAATGGCTTTTAATTCTTTACATCCTAAAAACACAATATTATGTGATTTTTCAATAAAAACATGTTAATCTGGTAGATTGTTTTTATCAAACCTTTCAGTAAATCAGAGAGGTCTGTTTGTCCTTCATTATGGCCAAATACTTGTTCCAGTTATCATTCCTTGTGTCAGATATTTTAAGATTGGGATTATTTTTGATTGTAACACCGGTCGACTTTCAGGGAATGTAGCTCGCCGACGTGTGTTCTCTAATTATGGGAAATGAATACAGATTCTAGGAATGGATCTTAACACTTTATTCAGGAACAAATAACAGCAACAATTAAACAACTTATAATTTCCTATAAATCGGACCTCCAACTAGTATATAGGTTCCCTAAGCTGGTCTCTCCAACTAATTAATCATCTTACTTACATTTGTCTATTTATATAAATTAGTTACTAAGAAAGTGTTGACATAAAGATATAATTATGGAAGAATTAAGACTTAAACATGCATTATGCAAGAGCAAAATCTGCTTATTACAAGTCTTTCTTTAGGCCTGAAATGTTATCTAAATTATCAATTAGACATTAATTAACTTATCCAGACCATAATAAACTCTCGATGTCAAGGCTAGCCTTCGATGTTGACTGGATTAGATTCCTATATGCCGCCAACGGCCATTGAAAATTAAATCAAACCAGCGGCTGCCAGGCAGGATACGCCCACATTTTCGAGAGGTGGATAGAGAACAAGCTAAAAAGAAAGTGATTTTTCGTACAATCAGGGGCCATAATTCAGGAAGTTACGGTCCGATATGCGCGAACATCGAAAGGAACTGAGATCTTTGGGTTATAAATATATATTTCAAGTTTCAACAAAATAGGATAAAAAATTGTGACCTCTTTAGGGTCCACAACATTGAAATGCCATATTTTTACGCTATTTGAGAAAGAAGGGCGGCCATTTTGCCTGTCAGTTTTGGGTCGATTTTCACAAAATTCGAACTCAGTCGTCCTTAGGGTGTAACGGTGATAAAATAATACGTTTTTTTAAATCGGATAAAAATTATGACCTCTATAGGGTCCACAAGCTGAAAACGCAATTTTTTGTACAATCAGGGGCCATAATTCAGGTAGTTACCGTCCGATTTTTCTTACAATCAGAGGCCATAATTCACGAAGTTACGTTCCGATAAGCGCGAATATCGAAAGGAACCGAGATCTTTGGGTTATAAACTTACATTTCAAGTTTTATCAAAATAGGATTAAAATTGTGACGTCTATAGGGTCCACAACCTTGATATACCATATTTTTACGCTACATGAGAACGAAGGGCGGCCATTTTGTCTATCAGTTTTGGGCCGATTTTCACGAGAATCGAACTCAGCCGTCCTTAGTGTGTAACGGTGATATAATATTATGTTTTTTTAAATCAGATAAAAATTATGACCTCTATAGGTTCCACAAGCTAAAAACACAATTTTTCGTACAATCAGGGGCCATAATTCAGGAAGTTACGGTCCAATATGCGCGAATATCGAAAGGAACCACGATCCTTGGGTAATAAACTTACATTACAAGTTTCAACAACATCGGATAAAAATTGTGACCACTATAGGGTCCACAACCTTGATATACCATATTTTTATGCTATTTGAGAACGAGGGGCGGCCATTTTGTCTTTCAGTTTTGGGCCGATTTTCACGAAATTCGAACTCAGCCGTCCTTAGGGTGTAACGGTGATATAATAATACGTTTTTTTAAATCAGATAAAAATTATGACCTCTATAGGGTCCACAAGCTAAAAACGCAATATTTTGTACAATCAAGGGCCATAATTCAGGTAGTTACCGGCCGAAATGCACGAATATCGAAAGGAAACTAGATCTTTGGGTTATAAACTTACATTTCAAGTTTCAACAAAATCGGATAAAAATTGTGACCTCTATAGGGTCCACAATTTTGATATACCATATTTTTACGCTATTTGAGAACGAACGGCGGCCATTTTGTCCGTCAGTTTTGTGCCGATTTTCACGAAATTTGAACTCAGCCGTCCTTAGGGTCTAACGGTGATATAATAATACGTTTTTTTAAATCGGATAAAAATTATGACCTCTATATGGTCCAGAAGCTAAAAACGCGATTTTTCGTACAATCAGGGGCCATAATTCAGGAAGTTACGTTCCGATATGCGCGAATATCGAAAGGAACCGAGATCTTTGGGTTATAATCATACATTTCAAGTTTAAACTAAATCAGATAAAAATTGTGACCTCTACAGTGTTCACAAGCTAAAAACGTGATTTTTCGTACAATCAGGGGCCATAATCCATGAAGTTAATGTCCGATACATGCAAATATCGAAAGGAACTGAGATCTTAGGGTGATAAACCTATATTTCAAGTTTCATTGAAATCGGATAAAAATTGTGACCTGTAGACTGTTCACAAACAATTGTGGACAGACGTCCGGACGGATGAACGGACAGGGGCGACGACAATATACGTCCACATGAAAATGTGGGCGTATAAAAAAGTGGATAATCGAGACTATGATGTTTATATTAATGATTTTAGTAATGATGACCGAGACTATGCAAAAATTTCACCCGCTTCTTTCTCGGCTCATAGTGGATCAATTTGACTGAAATATTCAGCAAATTACCTTTACACTATCTAGTTTTTAACTATTATAGCGAGAACTGCCATCTCTTTATCTTATCTCCCATAATGTATCTTTAAGGCATTTAAAACAATAGTTAGAAGAAACTTAACAGATCAACCACTTTAATTGCCAGCCTGTCATAATTTGACTGACAGGTTAATTGCTGTCTACCTAGTAGTTATTAGCACCCTTTCCTCGGTGTATCGATGAAGATCAGGACAGTTTTGGTCGAGGGGCCCAGCCGGGCGGCCCCTGATCAAAACTGTCCTGCTCTTCACCGATACACCGAGGAAAGGTGCTAATAAGTCACTTACATCGCATTTCTATCGAGTATTGAGAAGCGAAATGCAAAACATTGTATTTTTTATCGAGTCGTGTCAAGCGAAATGTGACAAATACTTTCTGATCTTTCATTTATCCCTTTCTGTGCCTCACGATACATTTCGTGGTAGACTGATTTCGCAGTGGAGAAACGACCTGATTAGTATTTACACGTGCGTCTTGCTGCGTTACAATGAGCGTAAAACAGTCACATGTTTTTTTAGACTGCACTCCGTATTGAAAGACGAAGTTGTTTTGATGAAGTCGGCGAACATAGAGCCAACCACATCGTCAAAACAACTTGTTCCTGGCATAGAAGGACTGAAATTATATTAAACGTTATGTAAAGGACACTGCACAACGTGGGTCAATCCTGGTGAAGTGTGCATCGGCGGACTTATGACGTTCTAGGCGTTTGTTTTCATCCTGCTTATTTTCAATGCTTGTATAAAAGTGTTTGTCGGAAATGAACAGTACTCTTTCTGGAAAGTATACTGTTCATTTCTGATACACAGATACTTTTATGCCTGTATTGGAAATAAACAGGACAGTTTTATCAAAGGTTGCCACTGGCAACGAGGTAGAAGTGGGATGTAACTCTAATGACTAACCAAGCATTAATGAATATTAAAATATAGATTTGAAATTTAAAACAGAATTAAAAAATAATAAATAACATCGGTCATAATTGTTCAGATCATTATAAGGATGAACCCTACCAAAAATTTAGACTTGTACATCAATTATGTGTGTATAGGTTGCCCCTGCCACCGTGTAAAGACTGAATGTATCAAGTTTATTCACCTCAATGTGCACTTAATGAACACAACTAAACATGCAATAACAATTAAGTGTCAAAACAAAAGTGTTAGGCACCAAGTAAATACATCTGTAATAAGTATCATATCCTGTATCTTTCAGTTAGTGACATGAAATGAAATGAAATGGGGTTTAACGTCCTACTGTTCTGCTCCTAACCTGGGCTAATGAAGATGGGCATATGCCATACAGTGTGCTATGAGGGAAATTTTGCCCGGGCAGCGGCACTACGACCTACTCTTATATCAAATTCCAAGGGATCTTTTACGTGCACGCCAATGTGTACACGGGACCTTGGTTTTTCGTCCCATCCGAACGACTAGACAGCTGTCCTTGTCAGGCCCTCTGTCCTGCATCACTGACAAGGAGAAACCACGCCGGAAAATCTGGATGAACTTTCTCGGCCAATGCAGGGATCGAACACCCGACCTCCAGGCTAGCGAGCCAGCATCTTACCCACTTAGTCACGTGATCCCCGCTTTCAGTTAGTAAATAAAAACTAATTCCCATGGAAAAAGCTTCAATGATACAGTCATAAATGATCCAGCAAAAATTATCTATTGGGTCAAGACAGAGAAAGAAAGAGGAGTGGTATGTAATGGCCTCGCTTATTTTATTGTTTCCAAGTCTTGTTAAATTTCACAAAGTGCTCCTATTGTTTATAAGCAATTAGACATGTAGGTAATCATTCATCTGGACTACAGAATATATCAAATAATATGAAAGACAAAGTCTAGTGACAGTGTGTTACTGGTGGGTGTATTAAAAAGTTCTAGGATCTGCAATTTCTTCTCTTTTTTACAGAAGCTTTATATGATTTTTAACAAAGTAAGTCCTTTGTCTATTTTATGATCATGAAATCTTAAAATTAACAAACATCATAAATCTAAAAATAAAATGTCATGACATGACATATGTCAACTGCACTAGGCGAGTAATCACATGGCCTTATGATGTCTATGTATTAAAGTGAAAGAAAGAGAAATGCAGATCAACATCCACACGACAATAACCACATTATTATGGGACTAACATTGTATATCTTTATTTCAATAATTCACCATGAACACTTATAAAACCCATAATGTTAGACAGGCAACTCTACTCCTCACGTACAAGACTGGAATAGAAACCACCAAACCTGACCCAATGACACACCTTACGATTTAAAACCCATTCACCACCCTTATCCCTTGACTGTATCCAAAAGACATTAAAAGATAGGTTGTCAGGCAATGAAACATATGTATCACTGAATAGTGATATAAATTTTAATTTATTTTTCAAATTTTATTTAAAGAATGCATAATTTATTTCTTAATTCTATATTCATATATACAGACAATATGGCTGACTTTAATATTATCAGCCTGTCTGTCATTGATTTAAATTTTAATATTTTGATTTACAACTCTTAAAGTAATTGCCTAAAAGCAAGAATGGTCTTGACTGTGTTATAATCTTTGGATGCCAATAGGCTTATTAAAAGCCACCTTGAGCAAGTTTTATAGAAATAACAATACAGTCAGATCAGTGCCAATCAAGTGTCAACGCTGTTACTTTATTTATGCCTTAACTCTTAAGTAACCCAGAGTTTTGACGTCATAAAGTCATAAACCCCAAGTCATAGTGGTCAATAGTGGTAAAATAGACTATATATTTTAAAGTCATCTCATTAAGAAACCAGCAGCTGCCAGGCAGGATACGCCCACATTTTCGAGAGATGGATAGAGAACAAGCTAAAAAGAAAGTGATTTTTCCTACAATCAAGGGCCATAATTCAGGAAATTACAATTCGATATGCGCAAATATCGAACGGAAACCAAGATCTTTGGGTTATAAACTTATATTTCAAGTTTCAACAAAATCGGATAAAAATTGAGACCTCTATAGGATCCACAGTCTGTCAGTTTTGGGCCGATTTTCACAAAATTCGAACTCAGTCGCCCTTAGGGTGTAACGGTGATATACTAAAACGTTTTTTTTAAATCGGATAAAAATTATGACCTCTATAGGGTCCACAAGCCAAAAAACGTGATTTTTCCTACAATCAGGGGCCATAAATCAGGAAGTTACAGTCTGATATGCGCGAAAATCGAAATGAACCAAGATCTTTGGGTTATAAACTTACATTTCAAGTTTCAACAAAATCGGATAAAAATTGTGACCTCTATAGGGTCCACAACCTTCATATACCATATTTTTACGCTATTTGAGAATAAAGGGCGGCCATTTTGTCGGTCAGTTTTGGGCCGAGTTTCACGAAATTCGAACTCAGTCGCCCTTAGGGTGTAACGGTGATATACTAAAACGTTTTTTTAAATCGGATAAAAATTATGACCTCTATAGGGTAAAAATTGAGACCTCTATAGGATCCACAGTCTGTCAGTTTTGGGCCGATTTTCACGAAATTCGAACTCAGTTGCCCTTAGGGTGTAACGGTGATATACTAAAACATTTTTTTAAATCGGATAAAAATTATGACCTCTATAGGGTCCACAAGCTAAAAACGCGATTTTTCGTACAATCAGGGGCCATAATTCAGGAAGTTACGGTCCGATATGCGCGAATATCGAAAGGAACAGAGATCTTTGGGTTATAAACTTACATTTCAAGTTTCAACCAAATCGGATAAAAATTGTGACCTCTATAGGGTTCACAACCTTGATATACCATATTTTTACGCTATTTGAGAACGAAGCGGCCATTTTGTCTGTCAGTTTTGGGCCGATTTTCATGAAATTCAAACTCAGCCGTCCTTAGGGTGTAACGGTGATATAATAATACGTTTTTTTAAATCGGATAAAAATTATGACCTCTATAGGGTCGACAAACTAAAAACGCGATTTTTCGTACAATCAGGGGCCATAATTCAGGAAGTTACAGTCCGATATGCGCGAATATCGAAAGGAACCGAGATCATTGGGTTATAAACTTACATTTTAAGTTTCAACAAAATCAGATAAAAATTGTGACCTCTATAGGGTCCACAAACTAAAAACGTGATTTTTCGTACAAACAGGGGCCATAATCTATGAAGTTTCGATCTGATACATGCCAATATCGTAAGCCGCCGAGATCTTTTGGAGATAAACCTATATTTCAAGTTTCATCAAAATCGGATAAGAATTGTGACCTGTAGACTGTCCAAATTGTGGATGGACGGACAGACGGACGGACAGGGGTGACGACAATATACGTCCACATGAAAATGTGGACGAAAAACAATGGTAGATAGACACTTCGGGTAAATGAATTAAATGATCTAGATTTAATGCCATTGTCATAAATATAAATTTTAGGCCACAAATTCCAATAAAAAATGCTCCAATTTCAATACTTTGGGCAAAATTCATGCATTCACGTGATATTTGTTTTTTGGTCGTTGTGAACTAAAAATCATCCGTCTTGAATCATTTTTATTTATTTGATACATTCAAATACCGTTGTATCTAAATATTTTTCACAATTGTATCATAGAATTGGGGAAATTCTAGGCTTCAGATAGATTTGAAGAGACATGACATAATACATCATTAGAATTGGTGAAAAACTTGGTTGACATCGCACTTGTGACTTAGCTCTAACGTTTTACCTTTAATTATTTTATTTAGCCGGTCTGGTTCACAATGACAGCTATTCATGTGTTCTAATTCCCCTAACTTTACTATTGTCTTTTAGTAAGTACAGGCTGGCCGCATCTGTATATTTTGGATGTAGGCCTACGTTTCTGATTTGTATTACATGTATATGTAGAATATAAAATGAACATAGTAGACACAATCACATCCTGTAGTCCACTGCATGACCCATCACCTGTCAATCATATTCGGGTGCCCAATCCATGACCCACCCCCAAGTAGGCAGCAAACCACTGAGCTATAAATAGATCAGTGCCGAAAACCTTCAAGTTTATCAATATCAAAATTATGACGCTTGATTTCCGATTCATTTCAATATTTCAGGGTATATATAATGTAAATGAAAAAATTAAAAATAGTTATTATTTTCTTTAATAAATCACATTCACAGGAACAAACATAGAGTGCTGTAGGTTAATACAACATGAATTACAAAATAAATTAAAGATACATTCCCGCGTACAAATTGGGTGATTTAATGGTATATATGGACTAAAAACATATTCAAACTAATTAATTTGTCATAATTTTGCTTCAAATCCTTCTCAAACATTGTAATTGCGAAGGAATGCCCTGCTATAAAAATTCGATCAAACCAGGTCATGTTTACGTCATGTGACTTACCTCTCTTGGAAGTCAGAGGAGAATTCATTGCATACCTAAGACGATGTTGTCTTTAATCGCTTACTATTTATTACAAATATCGAATCCTAATTAAATTCTCGAATTATCCACTACCCGCGTCTTTTTCCGTCATTTTTATCCCAGAAAGTGTTGTACATCTAACTCTTCATAAAATTTATCAATTTGTGCATCAAGCGCTCAATGTTCGCGTGTGACCTTTGACATCACACATGCAGAAATTCCTAATCGTCGGGCTGTCGATTAGGGGAACCCTTACATTTTTGTCCTGGGAATCCAGTATTTTTCTAGTAAGATTGGATATCTTTACTTTCTATATATACCAAAATGACCATACTTTATTGGTAATAACCACCCAATAAATACTTTTCTGGGAACGCATCTTTAAATTAATCATAACATTAGGCTCACCACATGATTATACATTACACTAACAATAAATATCTTTAATTTACAATTAAACATTACACTAACAATAAATATCTTTAATTTACAATTAAATATTAAATTATTAAATATACATTACACTAACAATAAATATATTTAATTTAAATTAAATATATTAAATTATTAAATATACATTACACTAGCAATAAATATATTTAATTTACAATTAAATAATAAATTATTAAATGTAAAGAATAAATTATTAAATGTAAATAATAAATTATTAAATGTAAATAATAAATTATTAAATATAAATATTAAATTATTTTTAGTTTATCACATACTATGGTATCTGAAAATATTAAGATTAACAATTAACCTACATCAATATCAATTCAATCCATAACAATTAAAATTGCCTCGTAAACTATTACCAATAACAATAAACAAGAAAATACAATACTTAAAAGTAAACATATTAACATTCTTTCAGTAAGCTTACAACTAACCATCAAAATTTTAATTGTTTAATATTTAACTTTATAATTCTCTAGCACATGATACCTCTCAAAACAGATTTCAGCACATATAGATTTATTACAATTTTTACAGTACCACCTGGTCTGCTTACGATTATTACTTTCCCTGTCTGAACATACAATACAATCTGGTTTACACTTTTTATTGTCATATTGAGCTGGAAAATGTCTCTCAGTTAAACGTTTCACACCTTTGTTTGAATGATAATATGTACTACTATTCCCTCTCTCGCCAATGCGTTTTTTAATAATTTTATGACGAAATTGCTTTGTGGTTAAAATTTGGACTGGGTAAGCTAATTTATGGGCATTTACTAGTGCTATTTCCATTATAAACCCAGAAATGACCTGGTAACACTTTCGTTGTTTATGCGGATATCGA